CTTGGCAATTAGGCGAGGCGAGCCTCAAAGGGCGCTTTGTCTCCTAGGCACCCGCCTAAGCATCGCCTTGACAACTATGCTACAAACCACCACAAACACCCACTAAACCACAGACTGGTGGCATGAAAACCTCCAAAAGGGAAGGGTGACCAATCCTTTTCAGCCCTTTTTCTTATCTCCAATAGATGATGATGAGATCTAGAAAACCCTAGGCTGAATGACGATGGAAAAGAATTCTAGGCAGATCTGAATTTTATTAATCAAGAGAAAAAGTACATCCATAGATATGACAATTGACAAGATGTCACCACAAGAGCAAAAAAGAAGAAACACTCCCCAATACATAGAATACAGCAATACATCTCAAAAGTAAAACAAGACAAAAATAAAATATTAATTTCTTGACTCTAACTCTAAAAAAGTCAAAAAAACCATTTCCAGTATCTTCTTTGGAGACTCCTTCAAATTCTGGCAATAAAGTAATACAATCCATGATTCTTTTACCACAAAGGAATACTAATTTATCTCTCTTTTCTCTTTCCTCTTTTTCTTCAAAAATTCTTCTAGTACTTTCTTTCCAGACCTCCCAACATATGGCAGAAGGAACATAGCTCCAAGCAATTTTCGCCTTGAGACTTCCTTACATTGTCAGCCAATGTGCAAAGCTCTCTTCCAGATTTCTAAGATCCAAAAAGTTATATTTGAAAAGACCAAAGAAATATCCCCAAATGTATTTCGTAAAGCAACACCTTAAACACAAGTGCAGAACATTCTCTTCAGCTGCTTTGCATAAGTAATACCTCCTTGCTAATTGCACTCCCCTACTTTGAATTAGTATTTTAAAAGGCGTGGAAGGTGTACGCTTGGAGGTCCCCCATGTGAGGCACCCCCAAAACGTCCTGAGGCATTGATACCTCTGAGGCATATGCCTCACATCCTTTTTCATGAGGCATGCTAGAGGCATATGGCTCATTTGCCTCATGCACACCTAGTACAAAAAGACAAAAAAGAAAAAAGAAAAGAAAGGAAAGGAAAACTCCCCCTCCTTCCTCCTCGTCCCCCACTTTTAAGGAGGCTTATGCCTCCTTTTGTTTGGGAGGCTTACACCTCTTATGTTCTGAACTACTACCTCTAGGTAGTGGAATGTGCAGTTTGGGCTGATTGAGGGCTTCTAAGTAGGGATTGAGAGTCCTTGTATCTCTCATTTACAGTATGTTGATGATACCTTAATATCCTTGGATGCAACAGTGGACCAAGTATTTATTCTGAGAGCTATTCTGGCCAATTTTGAGATGTTGACAGGCTTAAAGGTGAACCTAGCAATGAGTACCATTATTGGAGTTGGGGAAGTCAGCAGAGAAGTTTTGGGGAGAGGTGCTTCAGTATTTGAATGTCAGGTTGGAGACCTCCCTTTCCAATATTTGGGTTTGCCAGTTGGGGCTAAGGCTTCTGCATTTTCTATTTGGAGGCTAATCATTGAAAAAGTGGAGAAAAAGCTTGACAAGTGGAAAGCTAAATATTTGTCATTGGGGGGAAGAATCACATTGGTAAGATCCTTTCTAGTTTGCCAACATACTACATCTCTCTTCTAAAAATTCCATCTTAAGTGGCTAAGAAGATTGAAAAAAGGCAACAGACTTCTTGTAGAAAGGATTGGGGGTCTAAGAAGTTTCATCTAGTCAGTTGGGACTTGGTGTGTAAGCCAAAGAAGAATGAGGGCTTGGGAATTAGAAGATTGAGAAGTTTCAATATGGCATTGATGGGTGTGTAGGCTATAGAGACTTCAATAAGGCATTGCTAGGTAACTGGATGTGGAGGTTTGGTTTAGAGAAGGAGAGGGAATCTTTATGGAGGAGGGTGGTGGTTGGAAAGTATGGAGTGGTTAGATTTGGGAGGGAATATTTAGGTTGTCTGAACACCAGATTAGAATTGATCAATGCTTTAAAGTGTGTGGAGAAAGATAGTATGGTGTCCTAAATTCAGAAGACCCTTGCTGGACCAGGAAATAGAAGAATGCGTTCATCTGTTGAACTTGCTTCAGAAAGTTGAGGTATCCGCTTCCTCCCAGGATGGCTTGTGGTGGAAAGAGTGCAAGAATGGGGTTTTTCTGTGAAATCTTTCTATCTAGCTATGTTAAAGGATCAGCAGGTATCAGATTATAAGGGTGGAATCTGGGGGAATCCCATTCCACCTAGAGTGGAAGCTTTTGCTTGGCTGGTTGCCATGGACAGCATCTTAACATCTGATCATTTGAAGAGCAGAGGTTTTCATATGGCAAACATTTGTGTCATGTGTACTTCAGATGAAGAGACTGTCCTGCACTTATTTTCCACCTGCAAGACCGCAAGAATCATGTGGAGTTATTACACTTCTTTATTTGGGATAAGTGTGATTCAGCCAAGTTCAGCAGCAGAAATTTTCTCCAACTGGCCAAGATTTGGGGGAGGTAGGAAAGCAAAGATAGTATGGAGCTCCATCCCCTTTGCTGTATGCTGGATGCTATGGAACGAAAGGAATAGAAGGATCTTTGAAGACAAACTCAAGAACACAGAAGTTCTGGTGGCTGTGGTAGGGAAGTTAATTGCAGATTGGGTTTGGGTGTTACCAGATTTTGATCAAGTAAACAGATCAGGTTTGGGGAAAATTTTCGGGAGTATGCTTGAGATTCAATGATGTAATCGTATCAGTCTTAGTTTTGGACTGTACCTAGTTCAGTTTTGCTTTGTTTTGTAAGCTAGGTGCCATCTTGTCACCTTTTGCATGTAACTGATTTTTTTCTTTTAATAAAATTTCTATTTTACTCTTCAAAAAAAAAAAAAGATTTGGGTGGGAATCAAGAGAAGTCTCTTCTTCATTTGGGGTGAATGTATGGAAAGGAATCATGAATTTTAACTAAGAACTTAAAATTTCAATAGTTTCTTGGTTGGGGAAGGAGCTAGAATAAAATTCTGGGAGGATGATTGCTGTGGAGTGGGTAGATTGAGTGGTATATGTCCAAGACTGTATAGACTGGTTGACCATGATATTACCATTAGCCAATGCTATGAGATGTGGGGGGATAAGATGATCTAGAGTCCTAAGTTAAGGAGGCCTTTTTGGGATAGGGAGGTGGAAGACTGTGTTAGGCTGTTGGAAGTATTGGGAAATCCAAAGGTGTCAAGTTCTTCAAGGGATGAACTGCGTGGAAGGAGTGTAAGAATGGGAGATGTACGGTGAAGCCCTTTAGCTCTTTTAAGGGAGCAGATGGTTGGAGACAGGTGTGAAGGTGTGTGGGTTAATCCAGTCCCACCTAGGGTAGAAGCATCCACATGGTTGGTGGCTGTGGTTAGTGTCCTTACCTCAGATCATCTTAAATCCAGAGGCTTTTGTATGGCAAACATTTGCCTTATGTGCAGGGAGAGTGATGAAACAGTTTTCCATCTGTTTTTCTCTTGTAGGCTGGCTGGACTTTGCTAGAAATATTACTCAGCTTTGTTTGGCATACAATTGTTTTTCCCTGAGAGGCGACTCCTAGGCGATAAGGCACCCTTGGAGGCTTGCCTCGCCTTATCACCAAGAAGTGTTGTACATTGTGTTATAAAATACTTTTATATTCTTAATTTTTTGAGGTCATAATTATAAAACAGACATTACTAAACTAAAATATTCATTTTGTGTTTATATACTAATTTCTTTTTATTATTTTCCTATTTGTTAGGATTTAATCAACATAGACATTGCTAAATGCTGTATTGAACCATCAAAGACTTCAAAACCTGAACCAATAAGGAAGAACTTAAAATTTTGTCTAATCAACACTTCTTCCTCCATCTTTTTTTTTTTTGGGCATGTACACATGAACACTTGGTATTCATTCCATATACCAATCCGTACTACTATTGCACAATCAGAGGTTTGCTTCTACTTCTACCTGGGTATACATATACACTTGATACCAAATCCTTGCTTTTCAGAAGTTGTGAACCAATGTTTTGTCATCGTCATTTACTTCCTATGAAGAAAAGCAAGGAATCAGTCAGCCACATCTTCTTCCTCCTCCCAATTTCTTTTTTACAAGATATAGTCCTAAATTTTGGCCAGTTTTTATGCCCAAAACCCAACAAGTTACACCTTGACCTAGCACACATCTGGATCTTCTTCTGGCTTAGCCACTTAGCTAACAAAAGCTTTTCATACAAAGAGTGATACATACATTAATTACATATGTATGTATATAGACATGGACATGTACTAGGCATTTGCACTCCTTTAGTTTCATATATACCCATCATCTATTTATCAAGAAAATTAAATATTCTAAAATTGGAAATGCAAAACAAATCACATTCAAGCATAAGTAATATTTAAACGAAAAGCAAGATAGGCAAACACTATTGTTATTACTAGAACAGCCTTATATATGTGAAGGAAACAAATTGAAACTTGACATAACCATCACTGACTAAGGGCTGACTATATAAGAGATGAAGATAGTAGGCACATAGAGAAGTAGCACTAACATTTAATGGTTCAAACTATGAGGTTGGTGGGCCTTAAAGATATATGACCCAATAATTCCAACTATATTTTACTACATTGAATAATTAGAGAAAAAAATCCGTAAAACTATCAAAAAAAATCTGTCAAACTTAAGATGAAAAAGGAAAATATAGGCATTGGATTTTAATTTAAACAAGGAAAAAGAATGAAACTGACCCTACAAAAATTTAGCTTCTGAAATTTGGAGCGAAGAAGCTCCAAGATAGTATAACAGACAAGCATATACACATATATAACTATACAATGCAACCTTGAGTTCATTCACTGCATCTTTTTTTTTTTTGATAAATTTCCTTCAATGCATCTTCAACCCATATATGACAAGGATATGGCTGGAGAAGATGTCAAACACAAAATTTGCATTAGGCATCAAAGTGTCCAATACATCATTGAGTATCTTAGGGGTGTTTCCATGTGCATGTATAACTCACATGAGAGAGAAAGAGAGAGAACATACGTACTTGTTCGACAAAGTGTGCTAGCCGAGTTTGTGCGCTCAAGAACCGTTGGATGAAAGCATTGATTGACTTGGATTGGCCAGTTGTAGTCATTCCCGCAAAAAAATTGCTTCTCAAATAGGGTAATGCCCAAAGGGTTCGTAAAGAAAACAAATTCGCAATGTGTCTATTTGTGTGAAGCCCAAAAGAGTTCATCATGTCTCTCCAGCCTAGTTCAAACTCCTCTATCGATTCAAGATTATACAGCCGATAAAACTCGGCCTTCCATTCATTGTAGCGTTCCCCAAGAACAGCATTAAACCAGGAAGGGAACTTTGCCACAATAAGCCAAATGCAAAGTGCATGTTTAGTATTCGGCATTTCAACAGCTATCGCCTCTTTGAGACACATATTCTGGTCAGTAAGGATTGTCTGTGGAGGCTTCTCATTCATAAACCTCAAGAATGCCTACCATATTAATAGATATATAATAGAAGAATACCGTAAGGTTAGAAAAGAAAATAATTAACTTTCTTTGATAAATGTATTTTTTGAAGGTCCATCACCATCAATGAACCAAAATATCTACCCTATTGTTATGCATATGGGTTACCAACTCATACATCTGAAACATCCAATCACTTTGCCCACCCGAGTAGGTGCCAGCTAAAAACAGACTGGCTAGTCACACCTAGTCTAGCCAGCCAAAGCATTAGCTTTCTTCCTATCACTAGAAAAATTTTACTCTTCCAAATGCAGTTAGAGGTTAAGATAGTCAAATTGATATTTCAGCTGCACACCACCAAAGGTATCAGAAAATTGAATGCTCAGATCATTGAGTTAGTACATCCCATGTTTAGTATGCATGTCACATTTAATGGTGATAAACCTTCAGGCTAACATATATGGCTTTACTCCTTTACCTTCAATGCCCACGAGAAGGACCGCATATTCTCCTCTCGTAGGAGTACACAACCAAAGAAGCAAGGCATGCCATAATTATTCATGCCAACCCATATCCCAAGTGGCATATCAAAGGCAGTTAAACGATGAGTTGTATCAAACACAACAGCATCACCAAAGATCTCATATGATTGGACTGATGAAGCATAAGACCAAGCAATGTTCTCTAATCTGTTGTTTGCATCAATTGTGTACTCATATTTAAAGTTGGAATCTTTGTCCTGGATGTTCCTGCACATCCTTAGGAGATCAATACTGTCATCTTCTTGATCTACCTTTCTGAATGACTGAAGTAGATTTCTCACATCTTTCTCAGTGAATGGCAAGTATCCAGGCTCCACACGCTTCTCAAGCTCCATGAGCTTCATCATTTGTTGTACAGAGATGCCAGTTTTGGCAAACATGAAGATACGGTTCTTGTCACTCTCTGATATTGTCCGGTATGCTGGTAGGAAGCGAACTTGGTTTGGTTCCAAGAGCTCATGGTTGTGGTGATTTGCAAAGCCTGTAACACGCCATTCTGGAACCCCTAATTCCATAGTCTTGCTGATTCTTAAGTACGCTTGGCAACCACATCTTGATGACTTGCGGTTTCTCTGTGGTTTACTCTCATTTGATGCCTTGATTGGAGTGTTGCCAGCACGATGGCACACAAAGTACCTTCTTGTCAGTCCTTTACCAACTCCATCTTTTCCTTCTGTCCGATGCCGTCTGATCGAGAATCCGCATCTTTTTGCAAACTCACTGTAGAACTCATATGCAGCATCGTGAGTTAGAAATCTTTGCCCAATGTAAGGAATTGCATCATTTGAAGTTTCTAATGACAGTCGGGTGTTCTCTGGTGATTCTTCAGTGCTACTGGTATCATCCAAAGACAAAGATCTCTGGTCTGAAGGATCATTATAAGCCTCTATCATCTGCCTAGCTTCTTCAGACATCACTTCGTTTCCACGTAATAGCATTGGAAGTGAAAATTAAAACCCTGTATCGAATATTTTAAACAATCAATAGGATACCCAATGCAGGAGGTAACAAAGTAGTTCATTTGAATTTAATTTAATGCAATGCAACACAAAAACTTTAGCAATAAATTCAGCCTAATCAATAGTCAAAATAACAAAGAACAGACATGTCCCCAATATATGGTCAGTTTCTTGCCCATATAGCACATTTTTTATGTCAAAACACATGGAGAATTCTAAAACTATTTCTCATTATCAGGTACAACAAAAGCATTACATAGCTGCATTTGGATGCGATGTAAATCAAGAACCGATGTAAAATTTACATCGGTTTGGTTTTGTAGGCATTTGGAAAGATGGTGTACTTATTATCGACGTAAAACTCAACTCCGGTTCAGTTTTGTGTGTGTTTGGATGGAGTGGAGTTTTATGTCGATAATCTATGTCAAACTTCATCAGCTCTAAAGTTTTACATCGATAATTGATTTTATCGATGTAAAACATTACACTCTTCCACCCATCGCTATTTTCAAAAAGCAACGGTCACTTTCATGGTTCAGTGTAAAACGTCATTGGTGTATTTTAAAACCGATTACGTTTTACACTGATTCCAAATGCAGCCTTAGTGGGAAAGAGGGGGGGAATAGAGGTGTAAACCCAAGATGGAATATACAAAGGAACCTAGGAAGGATGGGATCAGAAAGTCATTCAAAGGAAAAACCAGGAGTAGCTCCAATAAATGAGTGGGAAAAAGGACGGGGTAAGAGATCAAGAGAACATGTCGAGAAAATGAGTGTGGCAGAAATGTGTATGCTGAGATGGATAGGTGGAAAAATAGAAAGGACAGCATCAGAAATAGTCATTCAAAGGAACCTAGAGTAGTTCCAACAGGTAGGGGTGTCAATCGACCAGTTTTGGATTGGATCCAATCCGATCCAAACCTTATCAAATCGGATTTCGAGGGTTCATTATAATTATTGGATTGGGCCAATCCAAAATAAATTGGTCCATATTCTTATTGGTCTGAATTGGACCCAAACCAAATTTCCAATAATCCGGGAGGCCAAACCCTTGTCCAATTTGAAACCAATCAAAACTGAAGTCAGCATAAAGTCACTTTTATGAAAGTACTTTCATTACAAAAGCACTTTTACGAAAACACTTTTACAAAAGCACTTATATAAAAGTAATTTATGAAAAGTACTTTTACGAAAGCACTTTTACAAAAGTACTTTTGTGAAAGCACTTTTACAAAAGCAGTTTTATAAGAACACTTTTACGAAAGCACTTTAATAAAAGCACTTTTACAAAAATACTTTTGTAAAAGCACTTTTACGGAAGTACTTTTATATAAGTAATTTTACAAAAGCACTTTTATGGAAGTACTTTTATAAAAACACTTCTATGGAAGCACTTTTATAAAAGCACTTTTACAAAAGCACTTTTATGAAAGAACTTTTACGAAAGCACTTTTACAAAAGCACTTGTACGAAAGTACTTTTATAAAAACACTTCTGCAGAAGTAATTTTACAAAAGTACTTTTATGAAAGCACTTTTATGAAAGTACTTTTATGAAAACATTTACAAAAGTGCTTTTTCAACGCCAAAAGGGTATATTTTTGTAATTTTCAGATTTTCTTCATTTTAGTATATTTTTGTAATTTTTTATATGTTCTATTTTTTATATTTCATTCAGTTTGGATTGGATCCAATCCAGTCCATTTACATTTTAATGGATTGGATTGGATTTGGTTTGTATTGGATTTGGACTGGATTGGGTCCAGTCCATTTGTAAGTGGACTCACATTGGACTGGATCGGGTTGAACCAAATCCAGTCCAATCAACACCTCTACCAGCGGGTAATAAAATGAGAGAAAGTAAACTAAGATGGTTTGATTGCATGTATAGTATAGAAGACCATCAACAGCACCCATAAGATGAAGTGATCTGTTGCAAGTTGAAGGGGCTAGAATGGATAGGGGTAGACCTGAAAGGACATGGATCGAAGTAGTGAGAAATTAATTAAGCACCCTTAATTTTAACAATAGATATGGCATTAAACAGAATGGAATGGCAAAACAGGATTCATGTTTTTCCATTTCACTAGATTCAGTCTAGGAGACAGCAAACTAATTAAATTCTGGACTGATCTATGGTGGGAAACCTAAACCTTTAGTCTGTCCTTCCCCAATCTCTTTCATCTTGCCTTGGATAAACAAAGCCTTGGTTTCTTCCACCCTCATTAGAGAAAGTCATGGCTTAACCTATAATTGCAATTTTCATACAGCTTTAACTGAACCTGAACTGGTCAAGATTTCCTACCTAACTTCCCCGATCTCCAACATTGTCTCTTCTCATCCTGACAAGATAATATGGCTACTTTTATTGAAAAAAAAAAACAAATCATTGCAAACAAAAAGAGAGTACAATAGGAAAGTGATGAGAAATCACCCAAGAGAAGAAAGCAACCGACTAACAACAACCAACTCACTCACACAAATGCAAAAGGAACCAAGCAACAAACACTCAGATAAACAAAAGCAAAAGCACAAAAACCTCTCTATCTCAAAAACACATCAGTTTTCCCCTTCAAACACCTCATCCAACCTGTCTCCTTCCTCATTCTATGCCTCTCCTCCTTCCCCTACACAACGCTTCTTCATCCTTTCTTCTTTGTTGTTCCTCTCAAACACTTCAAATGCCTTCCTTGCGAACTCCTCTCCACCCCACAAGAACAGACCTAGATCTTACCAACCCTAACATTCCTATCAGCCGAACTCACAAAATCCACTTTTCCTCCCTCCTCCTCCTTACCACACCTATAGGAGACTCAACGACACTTTTTCACAATGTACCCTCCTTTTCTTTTTCCTCTGACGGTCTGACCCCATACATAACTGAACAGCCTTCTCTGAAACTTCAGACACCTGTTTCACCAAACCTTCAAAAACATGAGATTCATGACCACTGCCTGTTTTACCTTCAGAAATCTTCTTACATCGTGTTCCTTTTCTCTTATAAATTCTTTTGTACTTGTTTGTAGGACCAACACCAATCAAACCATCTCAATCTTGAGAAAATTTTGGTGACATGAACCAGATGGGACTTGCTTGTACCTCGATCCTCTCCAAAACATTGGCAGCTCCTTCCTTGATTACCGGTTTCCTTCTCCTTCACAGATCAAACCCTGTCTTTCCAACAATCACTTCGGACCAAACAAAATCCTCACTATCCTCTGAGTTGCACATCATACTTGCATTTACTTCCTCCTGAAGACAGCAACACTCTTCTGACTTTCTACCATATCCCCTTCACAGACATCCCTTCCTTTCTTATCCTTCTCAGCATTTCCTTCCACTTTAACAGCTTCCTCCTCCCCTTCTCCTGAACCATCCTCTTTTTCTTGATTCCTTCTCCTAGCATTTTCAGCCTCTCGATCAATCTCCTCCGCAGCCACCTCAGAACAACCAACACTTCACTTATGCTCACCTAGACCACCAAGGAACTCGAAGGAAACAGAACTTTGCCTTTGAGCAATACAGAGCATAGACTCTTCCTTCCGGACCTATTGTATTTTGCAACCAACCAAACCAATTCTTATTCCTACTTCTCTTGAGATGAAAAGAAACACATCCTTTTCTCAGCTTGGCTTTAAAACCCCTGTTATCTCTAACCTTCAACCTATTCAACCTGTCATCCCTAATTCCATGCTCCACCACCGATTTTGAATGGTGCTCCCCACATACATCTTTATACTCGAGAAATCAGAAGAGCCCCTTCTGTGGCTCTCCCACTCTCAGCACCTAACCCAACCCTTTCTTTCCTCAAACTCCTCGCCTCCCCTTCATTGGTCGTTGGGAACTAATAATCTCTCATGTTCCTCGAGGCTTCCAGTTTTAAAATTACCTCCCTATCCTTGTCACTAAGCCTTCTTTCTTCTTCCTCTTGCCTACCGCTCACCTTCCCAACTTTGTCAAACCTCTATTCAATAGCAAAAGTTTCAGATTTTGAGCACCTCTCAGAGAAAAGGTTGGGTCCACTCCGACCATAATTCTTAATTTGTACTTTTCTCCAGCAAATAAAAGATCGATACACTTCAGGATCAACTGAATATCTTCTACTTCAATCAGGATTGCAAACTGCAACTGAAACCATCTCCTATTCCTGAAGTCATATCTTTTGAACCTTCCACAGGCATCCCCAACAAAGCGGAAAGCTTGAATGCATCAGGCATGTAATGGAATGCCGAAAACATTAATCGAAATGAAATTTTTCTTCATCTCTCCTCTAGTCAAACTGACCGACGGTTCCATTTTCCTAACCTCAGATCAGGGTGTTCAGCAATCCACCTCCTTCAAGCAATAAGGTTTTGCCAGTGTCTTCCTTCCACTTGAACATAAACAGGAACAAGCCTGTATTAAGCTTTCTCATGTCAATGAAACCAAAGCTTCTCCAATCAATCTTTGCCCACCTGAACACAGAGTCTTCATCTGGAAAGGAGTTGATAAATCTACCCACCACACATGTTTCCAGAAACTGAACTCTCTCCTTCATCTTTCCACTATCCTTTAGCTTGACCAGGACCACTTTGCACACCGGAGTTTCGTAAGCCTCTCGAAAACAAGGAGAGATAAGCATTATCAAGATACACACCCAAAATGGGATGTTCACTACCAAATCTTTCCCAGACAAAGATTTGTCTCTCCCCGGTCCCACCCACAATTGCCTCCTTTTTATGGGAAGCAGCTTGTGGAAAGATAAAAACTTACAACCATATGCCTACATGATGATGAGACCTTCTCATAAACTGTCTTGTGGCCTGTGTAGCTTATGGCAACACTTCCTGGACCTGGTTAGAGATAACCGCTTTGATTGGGCCCCTCACATTTCTGTTTGTGATTTTATTCATCAGTGGAAAGGCAGAAAACTTGGGATAAGAGGTAATATCTACTGGAAGGTCCGAAGGTGGAAGGCTGTAATACATGCTGCCATGTGGGTGGGGCATTTGGGATGAGTGC